AGAGAGAGAGAGAGAGAGAGAGAGAGAGAGAGAGAGAGAGAGAGAGAGAGAGAGAGAGAGAGAGAGAGAGAGAGAGAGAGAGAGAGAGCTTTTATTGACACGAGCTCCTGGAATGCCATTGGAATTCACCTTCTGCTTCTCTTCGTCTGTCACTTGCTTGTACACTTGCGTAATTGCCTGATATGCTTCTCGCAGTCTCCTGATATTCTCATCTGATGTTGGGGACTGGTAAATACAGACAACAAAAAGAAGATAAAAAGTGCAATATCTTCAATAAGACTTAACGTTATATACAGACTTTACTGGATAAAAATTGAGGTAGTCGACTAATGAAGTTACAAATCTATAATCGTTAACATAGTGAACAATCTGAAAGAAGACAATGGCATCTGAAAACGTATGGATGCAAACCACAGCGAGTGGAGACATCGCCTAAGACAGTGAAACTTCTGGCAGCTGTTGCCTGGAGCAGCTCAAAGGTAGCAAACCACAGCGAGGGTGTTGCAAAGCACAAACTGTAAGGGAAGGATGATGATGGAGAGGTGAGCTGGGGGAGAAGGTGGAAGCCATGGTGCAAAGAACAGCTAGCGGAAAAAGAAATTGGCATTAATCTCTGGTCTATCTGACAATAATATGTAACGGCAAAAGCTGACGGAACAATGGGTCCGTAAGACGAATAGCAAGTTGGACAGTGGAGGATGCATGGAGAGGGGTTCGAGCAGACCGAACAACAGGTGTGTCGGCCCTTGGCACTTGCCAACAGTTCCTACAAATGTGTGAAGCATGAACTCGTTTTGTGGATGGTGTGGACGATGCTCAGTCATTGCTTCCACACACAGCACACAAGACAGGCTTGCTAGCTCTCGGCTTCGGTAGACTGAGCAGCAAGCTCTCTACTTCGGTAGATTGAGCACTTGAGCTCTGCTTCCATGGATTGAGCAGCTGAAAGAACTGGACCCAGAGTCACTAGTGAGCAATTCTAAGCGGTTTTCCCTTTTCTGTTTTTATCCCTCCTGCTTTGGTAGATTAAGCAGCTAAAATGACTGAACCCAGAGTCACTAGTGAGCAATTCTAAACGGTCTTTCCTTTTCTCTTTTTATCCCTCCTCTTCTCTTGTTTTCTGAAAAAACTTGGGACCATTTCTCAATTTAAGACTGCCAACCTTGTGAAGGTGTGTCATGCTTCTTTTTTCTTCTTCCCCTTAAACCTTCTTTTTTACTTATGCAAGTTGTTGCCCGCCCTAGCCTCACTTGTGGCACAACGAGAACGTGTCAGGACAGTTTCTCTTGAAGTGTGGGTCTATTAGGCAATCACCCCTTTTCGACCTTTGTTTCAAATATTTGCCACAGCAGCTCCTTTTCCGCCCAGATGCATGGAGTGTGTGTGAGAGAGAGAGACAAAAAGAGCGAGAGCGAGAGAGAGCGAGCGAG